CGATATTGACAATTTTTTCACATTTATCATAATTTTTAAGATTTGTATGTATATTAGGAATTCCTATTTCAAATAAAGATATAAAGATATATAAAGATATATATTGTAAGTTATGAATATCACTGGAGTTTTTCCCAACACCAAACGTGTTTCGATCACCAAGTGATCATCTTCAAGAGGAAGATTACACTAAATATACTCAACAGTGTTATCCTTATTCATACTGTAACAAATTAACGAATTAACTGTCTTAAACAAATTTATTTCTAGCAATATTTCACTATCACAAACTGATTTATTTACAACACTTAGCACTTAATTTATTTCCACGATTTGAATTCCTTGTTTAACCGCTCGATGCACGTTATGAATTCAATTCCATCTCTGGACGAGAAGCGGGCCTTATATATCGGTAACACCGTTCTAGATTTCTCTAATTGTTTCGGTACTCAACTGGAATTTAACCGGCGGTTGTCGACTGAATGAAATAACTTCAGTTTTTCAAAATGTACAGCAATGGACCCATGACTACCCTGTTATATCAGCTAATTACACTGAATTCGCGCCTTTAACAATTAATGAACTAAGAAATATATTCTCGCTTGACAAAGCAGAAATTTTAAATGATAATGTCTTAAAAAAAAGCTTTGATGTAGCTGGGTACGCAATATTAAATTTAATTAACACATCACTTAGAACCGGCGTGTTTCCAGATCAATTTAAGATTTCGACTGTTGTTCCTGTACCGAAAATTAACTCAATTAAAGCTGAACATTTTAGACCATTAAATATACTATGAACTCTTGAAAAAGTGTTAGAAATGTCTGTATATAACCAATTAATTCAGTACTTTAATACCAACAAATTGTTTATAGGCAACCAATCAGGTTTTAGAGCTACACACTCATGTGAAACGTCTCTACAATTTTTAATAACTGAATAGAAAAATACAATTGATAGAAATCAGTACATTGTTGCGACATTTCTCGACCTTAAAAGGGCATTTGAAAAATTAAAATATTATGGGATATCAGGGATTGTTTTCGATTGGATTCAAAGTTACTTATTCAACAGAAGACAAAAAACTAAATTTGGAAAAGAATTGTCAGATGAACTTATAATTGAAAGTGGCATACCCCAGGGTAGTGTGTTAGGTCCATTGCTTTTTATTATTTACCTAAATGATAATCACATATCTGGATCACACTGTATAAATCTTTTTGCATATGATACATTGGTTTATTGTATACATGAAGATTTGGATCAGGCAATTGTTGAAATGAATAGGTCTTTAAATAGCATTGAAACATATTTATTTAATAATAAACTGAAACTAAATGTCAGTAAAACAAAAAGTATGATTTTGACATCATCTTATAATTATGATCAAATTGTTTGGGCAAATGCTGTTATAAAAATTAATAATGTTAGCATTGAAATTGTGACTGAAATAAAATATTTGGGTTTTATAATTGATAAAAATTTAAAACTAAATAGTCATGCTGATTTTATTTGTAAAAAATATCTAAAAAACTTTTTTTTCTCTCTCGTATATGTAAAAAAGTGTCTATGTATGCTAGGTTGACTCTTTTTAAAAGCCTAATACAACCTCATTTTGATTATTGTACAACATTACTTTTTCTACTTGGTAAAAATAAAATAACGCAATTGCAAAAGCTTCAAAATCGGGGCATGCGATTAATATTGGGATGTAGCCGTTACTCAGCAATTAAATCGATGTTACAGTGTCTAAACTGATTTTCAGTTGAAGAACGTATATTATATATGACTATGATCTTTATATTTAAGCTGCATAAAGTATTTGCTACCCAATTACTTTCAAAAATTCTTATTGAGAAATAATGAAGTTCATGATTACAATACGAGAAGAAATAACAATTTTTACATTAATAAAATCAACACTAAATTTGGAATGAATAGTATATTTCATAAAGGCTTAAACGAATTTAATAAACTACCACAATTTATAAAAGAATCTAATTCAATAAACCAATTTAAGTCATCATTAAAGAAGTATATTAGTGACAGCTCATTATGATATTTGTAATTTTTTATTTTTTAATGTGAACTAACCTAACAATCTATAGATATGTATGTATATTTGGTTTTCCTTGAAAGGTACTTCAAAATGTTATTATATTTGCATAGTTAATGTCGTGAGATATTTATGAATTTGTAATTTTTCTTTTTTTGTATATTAGGCTTGCCTACTTGATAAATAAATAATTCCTTTCGCGGTTATGTCATGTATAGTCAGGTAAATCTAATAATTGAAATATTACTTTAACAAGCTATATAGTATACTATTAGGTATTGATCCACCATCGTTATTCATAATATTATTATGTTTACTCATTTCTACACTCTCATCGGCGTCTAGATGCCTGTTGTTAACTTGTCTAACTAATCTTAATAAACTAAAGTCTATAGAATGGTTTTGCTGTGGTATATGATGCGCAACTGCTGATTTTTCTGGCCTTCCATATTTTAAGTGTGCTAAAGTGTGACTATTACATAGGAACACTTTGTAAAATTAATTTAAGACTAGTAGATAAGGCAATATTGTGAAATTAATTTAAGATACCTAAGACGCTGATACCTAGAAGACGTATCTATGGTATAAATACGGATAACATACCTATATTTAGTTTATTCTTCCTCTTGAAGATGATCACTTGGTGATCGAAACACATGTCGACGGCTTACGATAGGTTGCTTTTTATGTTTCGGGATTTGGCATGGATAAATTTAATTCAATTTTTGGCGATGAAGCTCCATCAAGGACCAGTGTTTATCAATGGTATGGTGAATTCAATTGTGGTCGTAGTTCACTCCAAGAAGAATTTCGTGAAGGTCGTCCAAAATCAGTTGTTGTTCCAAAAGCCGTTGATGCTGTGCTCAAAATGATATTGCAAGATCGTCATGTGACCTATCGTGAGATTGAGACAACCTTAGGCATTAGTGGGACCAGCATACATTCAATATTGCATAAACATTTGACTGTCAAAAAAATTTGTTCGCGTTGGATCCCACACAATTTGTCAATCGCTCAAAAAAAGTCTTGTATCGATTGGTCGAAGGAAATGCTCAAAAAATACGATCGCGGTGCTTCGAAACACGTCTATGACATCGTGACAGGTAATGAATTGTTGATTTATGTGTATGAGCCCGAAAGTAAACAGCAGGTGACTGTATGGGTGTTTGAAAAGGAGTCAAATCCAGCGCAGGAAGCACTTCCAAGCAAATGGTCGCCTGTTTTTTCGGAAAAACTGGACATATCGCAGCCGTACCACTAGAACAACGCGGAACAGTCAATTCTGAGTGGTACACAACCATTTGTTTGCCAGTTGTCTTCCAAGAAATCAGGAAAACCAACCGCCAAAGACGGATCACTCTTCACCACGACAATGCGAGCTCTCACACATCGGCTCAAACAACTGCATTTTTGAGCACCCAAAACCTCGATTTGATGAGTCATCCGCCGTATAGTCCTGACTTGGCACCGAATGACTTCTTTTTATTCCCGCACGTAAAAAACAAACTGAGAGGTCAACGTTTTTCGACCCCTGAAGAAGTGGTTTTTGCATTCAGAATAGATGTTTTGGAGATGCCTCAATCAGAGTGGCAGAAGTGCTTCGACAATTGGTTCAAACGCATGGAAAAGTGTATAGATCTTCATGGGGAATATTTTGAAAAACAATAAAGTAATTTCCGATGATTAATATCTGTTTTTGTTCTCTAATCCTGAAATATAAAAGGCAACCATCGTAAAATAACGGTTTGGTGTTGGAAAAAAACTCCAATAACATACCTACATTACTACACCAAAGGTTCAAAACAGTGCATCACTGTTTTGAACTGTTTTTTTTCCTGTCATGAACATGTTTGTTTCTTGAAAAACAAAAATTCATTATTAATATCGTCGAACGTGAAATAATGGATATTTTTCAGAGTGGAAAAATGCGCTAAGGAGGTGGAACGAAAAAAGGAGATTCATCCTGCGCTCTCAGCCGAAGAGGAACTGGAGCCCCCGGACGATTTCAGAGGAATCAGTGTCTATCCAGACGCTATGGAAGTCATTCATCCTGAATCGCCATTCCTTCGCCCCAACGTCACCAGGGGGCCTTATCGAGACGTGGGACACTACTTGGATGTCCAGTTCCGTCTGTTGAGGGAGGATTTTGTTGCTCCGTTGAGAAAAGCAATATGTAGGTGAGTTTGGGATGGGTATCTAGTCAGTTATCGAATTTCTGAGAATCACCTTCATCTTCCTGTCAGGTAGGATGAAATATGTCGACTACACTATTGATTCTCCAGATGAAATTGTGACAATTGCAGTTGATTATAGAGAGAGAGAGACAAATATTCTTTATAGAAGACAATTTTTCAGTTTTTTTTTTATTTTTCAACATAGTCTCCTTTCAACTCTACACTTTTCCTCCAAGCGCAGTTTTTAGATGATTGAACAAAAAGAAGTTGCTTGGGGTTAGATCTGGTGAGTAAGGCGGAGGGTCTAGCACAACGGTCAGCAACTGGCGGACCTCGGTCCACCAAATATACCAAGTATAAATTATTACATAGATAAAGCATTCAATACCTCAATTAAATAAAAGAAAAAAAAAATTAAGCCACATAGAATTTAACTTAGTACTTATTTTATTTTTAGTTTCCTAGCTAACCTGTTTTACAAGTACCTACAACTGATATGGTGTGATTAGTTTCCCATCTAGCCCGGCTAATTAAAGAACCAGTTACCTCCTTCTTGCAAAACTTAGATAAGCAGAAATCACTTTGAGTTCATAACAAACAAGCGCAATATGCTAGTTGTGGCTTTCCTAAAAGATATTTTGAAATATTTCAATGCGCTAAACACAGAGTGTCTGCTTTTCGTCGCAAGCTGATGTATATCATCGAAAATGATATTGCAAAACAAAAATTCATTAATTTTCCGACAGTTCTTGAATATAAACAAATCTCTTAGGAAGACATTGTTCAGTTATTGAATCTGGCCGATCTTAGGAACGATGTAGCGGCAGAATGGACAGATGTAGCTGCCAAGTTATTCAATTTGTCAAAGCCATCACTTCAAATAGAGAAAATCGATTTTCAAGATGTGTCTGCAAATGTATGAAACGGTATCCTAATGATGATTTTGGACTAAACATGTCTCGTTTTTTCGCAAGTTCTGCCTTCAGCTTGTCAAGTAATGATGGATAATGGTTTTGTGTTATGTTATAGTTTTTCCTTTTTGAAACATAATCGATTAAAATAACTCCATGACTGTCCCAAAAAGCAATCGCCATCACTTTCCCAACGGAAAAAACAGTTTTTGCTTTTTTTTGAGCCAGCTCCCTCTTTGCAGTCCACTCTTTGGACTGTATTATTGTTTCAGGCCTATAATGGTTTATCCAAGTTTCATTTACTCTACAGTAATTAATCGGCGCCAAAACTCGGATTTATTGCGTATGAACTGCGCCAACAGAGCGCTGGAAATGTTCATTCGAACACGCTTTTAGTCTAACGTGAGCAAACGCGGCACCCAACGCGCGGACAGCTTTCTCATGCCTGAATGTTGATTTAATATGTGGCAACACCTTTTTTTGACATGTTCATAATCTCTGCTATATCTCTCACTTCAAATCGGTGGTCGTCTAGCACCATTTGGTGAACTTGGCGATGTTTTCGTCGGTAGTTGCAGTTTTTAGACGACCCGAACGTTAATCGTCTCCCAAACTCTTACGGCCACGTTTTAATTCAGCAGCCTAAAATTTCATTGTGGTTAATAATGTTGCAGAATCCCCATATACAACAGAATCCAACTTCTCTTTGATTTGCTTAGGCGTATTAATTGCCTTTCAGAAACAAATATTTAAAGACAGCTTGATACTCGATTTTGTCCATTTTCACAAAAACATACATATCAACTCAGTCAAACGACTGTTACATAACACTGCGCGTCCAAAATGGCTGAAACTTTGGTGAGTAACTGTTGACAGATGAACAACGAAATTCAATAGCTTTTATTTACGAGTGCTACTATCTTCATGTTGAGGTCGGAAACTTTTCAGGCACCCTCGTAATAGCATCAGAATTTTTTACTTAATAAATAATGGTTGACAAGAATATCGACTTTTTGCTTCACACATGTACCGAATTGCCCGTTTTTGTTGGATGGTCTACATGTGGTTGTTATTAACCCCCCAAGAAAGCAATGCCAGTATGTCATGATCGACAGTATATAGACAGAATAAGTAACTAGCACCCCATGTGAATAATCCCAAGCACTTTTGAAGGTGTCTGATTCTCTCAAACTGATAGATTTTATATTGAAGCTAATAATGTGATATCATCAGCATACTCAACATGTTTCAACGAAAAATATTGAATAATGTCATTGACATAAATAATAAATTGTCTGGGTCCTGAGATTGATCCCCAGGGAACCCCTCACGTAATTTCCAGTTTTGGATGATACATTTCCATTCGAGGAGATATTTCTGGTAACTCTGAACAAAAGAAAAAGCGTCCCCTCTGTCAATAAATAGTCCCAGAAATTCATTTGATGGTTTATTCTCAACAGAGACGTCAACTTGTAAATTGCTACTGGTTGTGTCTCATTATTGGGAAAAAACAATAAAGTCCAAACTCATTTATAAAAGATTTTCGGTAAGTGGGGAAAATAAAAACGGAAAGTTCAGTGAAAACTTACCATCTGCCCCTTTGGAAGCAGATTTTTCGGAAAGTGCAGGGAAAAAAATTATAACGGAAAGTGCAGTGAAAACTTACCCCTCTCTGGATTAGTGGATGTTTTAATGATGTAAATGAATTGAAGGAACGTGTTAGGAATCACACGTTAAAAGGTAAGACCTCGTTAATCCTTAGCTCGCACAAGTTTCGACTTCTGAGGGTTGTCGTTCGTAGGGGTGCGACAGCTGATTAACGGAAAAACAGATTTTTTTTCTAAATCAAGAGTGGAACCCCCAATAAGTGAAAATTGGTAACTGGTTACCAAAAGACCCAATAGGGGGTCGTGACAGTACATTTGAAACAAAATACGTTCATTTTAGAGGTATTAAAACTGGGAAGTTTTGCCTCACACCATCTTTTTATCTTGCTAATAATCACAGTTCAGAGAGATTTTTATCATGCCATAAAATTGTAGTGTCGTCAGCGACTAGTGTGAACTCACCTTAAACTTTTTTTTCTCAAATTCGTCTGCCTTGCTTATATTATCTCAGTTATTGGAATATATTTTTTCTTTCTCATAGGTACATGAAAAATCCCAAAGATAAGTTGGACGATGTGAAAATTTACAACCCGATTCGGTTCCTGAACATGGAGACCGTCACCGAACAAAAATGCTTCCGCATCCAGTACGACTTCAGCACCAAAAAAAGAACGTTTGTGTACGAAAACTCCAGAAGGTTTATGTTCGGAGCTCTGCTGTGCTTCACCAGCGATAACTTCAAGACGGTTCTCTTCGCCAAAGTGGCCAAACGCGACGTCAAGGATTTGTTAGAGAAAGGCCAGTTGATCGTTGGGTTCAGTGAGGATGTCGATCTCCCTGAGAACCTCTACGACCTCCAGTACGTTATGGTGGAGAGTACTGTCTACTTTGAACCTTACTATCGGGTGCTTAATGTCCTAAAAACGATGCAGCCAGAGAACTTCCCAATGGAACGCTACATCATCAGCGTCCAGACTACTACTCAGCCGCCGAATTACCTGCTGAAGATCGATCCCCAGTTCTACAACATTGAGAATGAAACGTTTTTTCCGCTTGATTGGGGCGAGAGACAGTTTTACGGGTTGAATGACTCGCAGAATTCTGCTTTCAAGGCTGCACTCACGAGGGAGTTCGTAATTATCCAGGGTCCACCAGGTAATTAACAATAATAGCATAAGTTAACTAATACTCATATCAATAATAATAATATTTGGTTGTTTTAAAAGTTTTGTCTGTGTTTTTGTAGCTCTCGCTCAGTAAACAGCACTCCCTACACAGTTTTCGGACACTATTATTGTTTAACCAGATACAGTTTGCGATGGCACCGAAGCTGTGAATTATCCAACAGAGTTTTTGAACTCATTGGATTTGCCAGGCATGCCACCGCATAATTTATAACTGAAGGTTGGATAGCTCCGTAATTTGACTCCACCACGGCTGTGCAACGGCACGCGATTAGCCATTAGAAAATGAATGGAAAACGTTGTCAAAGCCAGCATTTTGAATGGCAAGTTCGTGGTGAAAATATATCAATACCACGAATCCCTATTATACCTACAGATGTGCCAATTCATTTTAAACATGTGCAATTTCCAATTATATTGATATTTGCAATGACCAATAATAAGTCCCAAGGCCAAACAATGTCCGTTTGTGGCTTGGATTTGAGCACACCAACAGAGCTACACATGGACTAACAAAGATAATTGTACAAACTATAGCATTAAGGGATTAATATTATTTGTATTATTGTTCTGACCGACACAAAGAGGGTTTATGTTTCGGGATTTGGCAACCCTAGTGTTGCAATCTGGCAACTGACTGTTCTATCATAAAGTTGGACATTTTTGAGCTTATACGTACTCAGAGCGTTTTGACATACTCGCGCTTTTTGTGTTGTTTACAGTAACTTAAAAGATTCGTCTCGGCCCAAAAATGGAATTGAATCGTGAACATTTTCGTGCGATTATTTTTTACAACTTTCGACGTGGATTAACTGAGTAACAGTGCATGGATGAACTTATTTCAATTTTTGGCGATAAAACTTCATCAAGGACAAGTGCTTATCTATGGCAGGGGTCTCCAAACTTTGAAGCCTTCGGGCCATAATGATTTTTTCAGTTTGTTCCAAGGGCCAATTTCTGCCCTTAACTATATTTCTAGACTAGGATAGTCGCAAAGTGCGTGACCTAAGCAAACTTACGCTTTTTTTTGCATTTCAATTATTATTGTGTATTGTGACACTTAACGACATCTAGTGGCGAGTAGTGATACTATCTTTTTCAGCCACCCGCTAGGTGGCATTAGGCGTCATTAAATATTTGGAATTACCGCGTTGGTTCGAGAAAGTTCTGGTTCTAGCTAGTGTATACCAATCACCTCGAGATGGCAGTAATAATTGCATATAAAAAGGCTAGCGGCGCAACTGCGAGTTAGTCTGCGTAGGAAAGGCGAAGGAAGCGAAACTGTCTATTGTGAAATAAAGTAACACCCGTCAATAAGAGTATTTTGATTTGACTTATTGTTTTTATGTGTGATTTGTTAGTATGGAAAAGAAGCAAAAATCGACAGTGAATGCAGAACGTTCCAAGAAAAATGGAACTTTCAGTATTTTGTGATTGAGTCCAGTAATAAGGCGCTATGTTTAAATTGTAATGAAACCATTGCTGTTCTCAAAGACTATAACATTAAACGACACTATGAATCGAAACATCTTCAAAGTTACTCCAAGTATACAGGAAGTTTGCGGAAGGAAAATTTGAAACGCGGACTAAAATCGCAGCAATCTTTGTGTACCAAAGCAAATACTGAACAAGACTCTGCAACTCGCGCCAGCTTTCGTGTGGCTCTTGAAATCGGAAAACGTGGCAAACCATTCACCGATGGAGAAACGATAAAAGAATGCTTGATTGCAGTAGCCGAAGAAATATGCCCTGAAAAGGTAAATTTATTTAAAAGTGTCAGTTTGTCAGCAAACACCGTGGCTCGGAGGGTGCAAGACATCGCAGAAAATATATCATCTCAACTGTCTGACAAAAATGGACATCATGAGTGGTTTTCTCTAGCATTGGATGAGTCAACGGATGTGTCAGTTACTGCTCAGGTGTTGATTTTTATTCGCGGAGTAGATAAAAGCTATGAAGTGTATGAAGAACTTCTTGATATTGATAGTATTCACGGCACGACAACTGGGGCAGATATTTTTAAGGGAGTTGAAAATGCCATTAATAAAAAGAACTTTCGATGGAGAAATTTGAAATTGTACAGTCCCGTGTACAAGGAAGTATTTATAAAGTTCAATATTATAAGAAAAATTGAAAAATCATGTTTGTTGTTCATTCTACTAATTGTTAGGTCCAAGAAATTGATTGAGTTATCTGTTTCTATTTCAATAGTGAATTTATGTATTATATTTTTAATGAACGTTTGTACAATAGGGTAACCTAAATAAATAAAATACTACTACTACAATTTTTTGGGATATGGAGCTACAAAAATACATGACATTAAAACGTACAAAACTATTGAAACAACCTAATTGTTACCATACCACTACCATTAATAGCCTGGACTTGCTTGGTGAATGGATTGCACTTTTAATGTTCTGATGTTGTAAAGGAACCGGAAAAACCTTTCTTGGTCTGAAAATTGCCCGTACGCTGCTACACAATAAGTCAGTGTGGTACAGTAACACCCCCATTCTCGTCATTTGCTACACCAACCAGGCTCTGGATCAGTTCCTCGAAGGACTTCTTCCAGTGACTCAGGACATATTGAGGGTCGGCGGACAGTCCAAGAACGAGAAACTCGACAAGTACAATATCCGGAATAGGAGATTCAAGGTTGCCTGTGGCCCTGTAATCGCTCAAAGACGGCACGAGGTGATATTGAATAAAAAATGCCAACATCCAAATATATATTTGTTCTCCATTCAACAGGTGCAGTCTATTATTCAAGAAATCGCGTCGATTGACCACTCCCTGAGCGAGATAGAGAAAAATATCAGCGTGGTGGAGTTTGACGTATTCCGAAACGTGATTCCAAACTTTGCGGGAAGCTGGTTCGATACCGCAAAAAGTGAAGATATTTTGAGATGGTTGTTCACTGGAGGAGAAGTTAACTATCGTAATCTCAGAATTGATGACCAAGCAGAAGCAGTAAGTGTTCCCACTAGCATATTTTCAATAAATTTTGGGAGATGGTCCGAAGAAATCCATAGCGAATGCAGTGGGATAAAATTAGTTATAGAGGACAGAAAGATTTGTATACTTAGTATTTATAGATCTCTAAACGGTAACTTTGATACGTTTTTGAATAAATTATTTTGCATATTAGAGAACAGTGTAGGCTATGCTGATGATATCTTTGTTTGTGGCGACTTGAATGTCAATTACCTAGAAAATACTACTGAAAAGATCAAATTAGATGAACTACTACTCAATTTCAATTTACAAGTGACATCTTTGACTCCTACTAGAGTTTTTACCAACCAGTCAGGGAAAACTTCATCTACTAAAGTCGATTACATACTAACAAATGTTGAGAACATGTTTTGCAAATCCAATGTTTATGAAGGTAGTTTCAGTGATCACAAAGTATTCACAGTTACTTATAATATGCCATTAGAAAAATCTAAACTTATTGAACAATCTTATGTTATTTATAGAGATGTATCAGAGCATAACATGAAACAACTCTCCTCGACATTGTCCAAAACCAGTTTTGATGTAATATATAACAAAACTGATATAGATGAGAGCTTTCTGGCCTTCATGAATATTATAAGTGATGCTATTGATAAATGTTGTCCGACCAAAAAACACAAATCGTCCGCTAGTAACAAACATAACTGGATAACTCCTGAAGTGAAACAGGCCAGTCTTGATTTAAAAAGTATGCATTGGTTATGTAAAATTATAGGCAACAAAGATTCTCGTGCTGCATACAAAAAAGCGAAGAAAGACTATGAATCATTAATAAAAGCTTCAAAGTTGAATTTTCACGAAAATGTAATTAAGAATTCTAACAATAAAAATAGAACAGTTTGGAACCTAGTTAACAAAGAAACGAACAGAAAACAAATCCAAAGAGATATTACTCTCAACTATAATAATAAAGTAATCTCAGACAGAGATCATGTTGCGAACATATTTGGGGACTATTTCTCTTCAGTAGTAGAAAATAGCTTAGCAGACCATTTTGGCGACAATAGATCATCCGTATGCACGGTTTCTGGAATTGAATCGAATACTTTTTTCTTTATGCCCGGTAACGAATGTGAAATTGACGCAGTAATTAACAATCTAAAAAATAAAAAAAGTACAGGAATTGATAATATATCAGTGAGAATTTTAAAAGAAATTAAGTTACACATTTCAAAACATTTAGCTTATTTGTTGAATCTATCAGTCACAAGTGGCAAATTCCCTTCAATTCTAAAAACAGCCATGATCATACCAGTTCATAAGAAGAACGATACATCGGATATTACAAACTATCGCCCCGTGGCCCTGCTAAGCATTTTCTCAAAAATTTTTGAAAAGGTTGTCAATGAGAGAATATTGAGATTTTTATCAAGGTTCAAGATCCTGTCCGATTCTCAACATGGTTTTTGCAAAGGCAAGTCCACTCAATCAGCTACTTGGAGATTCTTAGAAATCTTATATGCTTCTTTAGATAGGGGTAAGCATGTTGCAGGAGTATTCTTCGATCTGTCACGTGCGTTCGATTGTTTAAATTTTAAATTCATCGAGAGCAAATTATATAATCTAGGATTTAGAGGGGACTTCCTAGAATGGATCATTGACTTTCTTACAGATCGTAGGATGTTCGTCAAGATTAAAGATATGAAATCAGACTATCACGATATATGTTCTGGAGTTCCTCAAGGCTCTGTGTTAGGTCCGCTGATCTTTCTATTGTTTGTAAATGATCTACCTACTTATTTCACCAGTAATGAACATGCTCTCACTCTTTTCGCAGATGACACGTCTTTAGCTGTATCAGCAGAGAGTCAGGAGGAATTAAAATCAAAAACAGAGGAATTAATATCACTGTTCTTAAATTGGTGTGAAAGGAACAATCTGATTGTAAACTTGACCAAAACAAAATATATCTATTTTAATTTAAAAAACGATCCGAAAAAGCAATCGCTTGCCTTACTAATCAATGGAATGACACTGGCATGCACAAGTTGTACAAAATTCCTTGGCGTTCATGTAGACAACTGTTTGAAGTGGTCTGACCATATCACAGTTGTTTGTAAAAAAATCAATCAAGGGTATTATGCAATCTCAAGAATTAAGAATTGTATGCCTTTACGCGCCATTTTAGATGTATATTACAGTCTGGTCTATAGCCATCTAAGTTATAATGTGATCCTATGGGGAAACAGTGTTGACAAAGATAGAGTTTTCATTGCTCAAAAAAAAGTCGTTAGGAAATTACTAGGCATCCCTTGGAGGGAATCAAGCAAGACATTTTTCATTAGTCATCAAATTTTAACCTTTCCCTGCATCTACATCTTTAAAATACTTTTATATGTTCGCGAATGTATAACAGACTGTACTAAGAACTCATTCTATCATAGCTACCCAACTCGATATGCAGAGGAGTTGAGCATTCCTAAACATAAAACTATAAAATTCGAACATTCTCCCAAATATATGGGAATAAAATTATTCAATCGGTTACCAGACCATTTCAAACAGATGAACACTGTAGCATTTAAAAAAGCAGTTAAAACATTGCTTCTTTCTAAGGCCTACTATAGTATTGGCGAATTTCTCTCGGACCATCTCGACTGAATGGGTTCATGCGGCTTTGGCATGACGTATTCAATTTTTATAACTACAATTGTTTTAATTTTTGTTATTCTGACTTATTTGTATAAATTTTTATTGTATTATTTTTATCTACTGATCTACAATTTTATCGTTTGATGTGATTTTTATCTGCTTAATACTGACCTATCCTATACGTTTGTCAACGTCTTTGAGGATGAATAAATATTATTATTATTATTATTATTATGAATAATTGGTTGTTTATATCCAATGATTTTATTGGACCCCACAGGACATATTTCGGTGTATCCTTTCCGAAGCTCTGGTCTACCAGATATATTCCTCACAGTCGTAGGGGACTGCGAAGAAACAATCTTTAGAGTCGTAGGGGGCTGTAGAGAATCAATCATTCCTCAGAGCCGTAGGGGACTGTGTGGTATGGTCAGTTTGTTAGAAACTCAAGTTTCTAAATGCACAAAATTGTTGTTTTTGTGGGGTGGGCAGAATTAACAATTTGGTTTTGCAACTTGCTAATTGTTTTTTTCATATTGCTGATTTCTGCTTACCGAATTTTGTTGAAGTCCATCGAGTTTGCTCATTATTGAACTCATATCACCCCCAGAAACTTCGAATAAATATGTTTCGGGATCTTCTCCTGACTCAATCAAGTTATCCCATAGTCTCTTCTGGAGTACCGATTTCTTTCCGGAAGAATCTAGTTCTCTTTCCTCCAATTCTTGCTTCAATTCGGCGACTTTCAAGTCCACTAGGCGCACTTTCCTTGAACACATTTTATCTCTTACTGTCTATTTTACTCAAAACTAAATATGTCCACTTATTTAATGGAGTCCGAAACACTTATTTATTTTCACAAGTCTATTTTTCGCGAGAAAGGTCTATCAGTTTATATTTCCGTCGTCCGGTACTGTCCGCTTTGCGAAACACAATGAATCACCAGTATATCTGCGCGAAAGTGCGAAAGTTTTATAGTCATTTCACTGTGATACAAAAATTGTCCACCAAGCGCTCACAAATTTATTTTGAAAATCCCACTTCTGACACCAATTGTAACGAATTAAGGAATTAACTGTCTTAATCAAATTTATTTTTAACAATATTTCACTATCACAACTAATTTATATACAACACTTAGTAACTAACGCTTAATTCATCTTCACAATTAGATTCCTTTCCTTAAACGCACGATTCGCTTTCCAAGTACAGACTACTCCTCGGGACGGAGAGCGACCTTTTTATACCGTCAACGAACGTTCCGGATTTCTCTGCGGATTTCGGGACCCATCCACACCTTTCCCGCTGGTTCGCGATCAGACATGCGTTTGCTGACTGGGACATCGGTCTGGGCCGGCTTCATATCCATTACAATATCTTCAAAATACATTCAAAACCTACTAATCTAGTCATCTTTTATTTATTTATTTGTACGGGATAAACCCCATTACAGTGTAAAAATTTCACAGAAAAAAAGTACAATATAAAAATGTAAAATATAAACTAATACGCTACGGACTGTTTCTGCAGCACACAACTATATAACATTATAAAATACTATAGGATATAGAATCAAAATTGAACTTGTTACTACCTTATGTAAACAATTACCAACTTGAATTATTCAATGATTGTTTAAAACGACCATAAGAGACACAAAAAATACTGATGTTTTTGTCATCTACTAACTTTAGGGTTCTTTCCAAGGGTGTATGTTTGCCATAATTTGTATGATGGAAGGGTATATGAAATAAATGGCTGTGTCTAAGATTCCTGTTCGGAACATGAATGTTGACAGATTCAAGTAATTCAGGACAAGTTATTAAGTCCATTGAGCAGCTTGAATGCATAGCAGAGAACTGCATGAATTCTTCTGGTTTGCAATAGTTTCAGCCCCATTTCTTGTAATATACTCGAACCCAACTTGAAAGAACAAAATCTCAAAAATTTGTTTTGCACTCTTTCTAGAGACACAACGTGCACATTGTGAAATGGAGACCAAATGATACATGCATATTTTAACTTAGACACCACTAGAGCTAAATAAATCCTTTTTAATGCTCCAATGGAAAATCCTGAACAATGACGTAAAATAAGACCCAGTGTTTTGGATGATTTCACACTCTCTTGGTTGATATGGTTTACAAATTTGAGTTGTTCGTCAAAAATGACCCCCAAATCTTTTATGGAGGAAGTGTATTCTAAGTTTGTTTGAAGGTGATTGACAATGTTTCATGATGAAGTTCACTAGTTCGGACTTCCATTGTCTACTATATAAAATGATTTGAAATCCCTGAAACAAGTAAAAAAGAATAATTAAAAAAGAATAGCTGAAGATAACAATTATATTAACCAAAATAAACCTGAAATGAAATAATAGTGAAATAAAATACAAGTAAAAATAGAACAATTGAATAAATGAAAATAAAGATATGAAAAAAGGAAAATATAATAAAAAGTGGAGAGATTCCAAGTCACGTTAGTTCACGACGTTTCGATTGTTAGTATCTACAATCGTCTTCGGGTGATGACTGGACTGATTCCTCCGAGAGATGACTATTTATAGGTCGTTCAAGTACTTTCACTTATCCCCGCTTTCCATTTTTCGCTTCACTGGTTCCGTGGGAGATGACCGTTTTGGCGGGAGTTGGCCATTTTTCGCTTGATGATGGGTTCCCATATGTTGCGTATTTCTACGCTGGCTTGGCTGAATACGTTGTTGGACAACATGTATGCGGCTTCCTTGAATTTTCTCCTAATACCATATTCCTCTCTGTGCAAGATCTCAGCTTGGGACCACTCGATGTTGTGTTGATGAGCCCAAACATGGTCTGCTATTCCTGATTTGCTGGTTTCCCCTCGCTGTGTGTGTTTTTTGTGCTCGGCAATGCGAACATTCAATGGCCTCTTAGATTCACCAATATAGGATTTTCCGCACTCACAGGGTATCCGGTAAATGCAATTCGTGGAATCGCAGTCCGCGTTTGGTGGCCTGGTTTTCGTGAGACTGCTACGGATAGTGTTACCGGATCTGAAGCAGGTTCTGATGTTGTAGTTGGAACCAATTCTTCTTATCCTCTCCGATAATCCTCTGATGTAGGGAAGTGCAAGCACTGGTTGTGACGGCTTCTCTTCCTTGTGAGGCTCCTGCTGTCTTCTAGCCAAATTATTTTCTAACATCGCTTTGGAGTAGCCATTCCGTTGAAGATCATTTTTGATGATGTCTAGTTCCTTCTCGAGACCTTCTTTCGTATTACAGAGCCCAAAAGCACGGTCTTATAGAGTCTTGATGATTCCTCTTTTTGTCGATTGATGGTGGTTGGATTCGTGGTTCAGATATTGTCCCGTATGAGTGGGTTTTCGATATAAAGATGTTTCCCACTTAGTGTCGGTCCTTTTCACCAAATCGTCTAAGAATGGCAATTCGTTGTGGATTTCCTTCTCCATTGTGAAATTGATGGAAGGTCTCACGCTGTTGATGTGTTTCAGGAAGGCGTCTAGTTCAGTATTCCCTTGTTTCCATATTATGAAGGTGTCGTCAACATATCTCAACCAGACTCGAGGTTTCTTGTGGGCTTCTTCAATGGCCAGAGTTTCAAACCACTCCATATATATGTTGACTATGACTGGTGAAAGTGGCGATCCCATTGGCAGTCCCTCGTCTTGTGTAAAGAATTCGTCCTTCAGTTGGAAATAACAGTTTCGTACACAGCATCCTAGTAATTCCATGATGACTTCTATAGGTAGATTCGTTCTCTCTCTCTCTCAGGTTCCAGTCTTTGACGTTCCGGTCGAAGAAGCACTCCAAATCATACAGAGAAAGCTATCCGAAGACGGTAATGAGATACCTAGCTATGAACTCATTTAAACTCGTATTTTGACATCCTAAAAGTGTCATGAAATCCATGGGTTTCACAATTTTCACATTCCTCCGTTCCCCCAACGACAAAATTGTCAATGAATCCCTGGGTATATATGAAATTCCATGCTCCAATTGCGATAGAACATATGTAGGCCAGACCAACAGACGTGTGACAATTAGAGTATATGAACATCAACTTGCTGTCCGAAAGTCGGACCCATCCTAAGTGCTGTCCAAGAATCATCAAGAGACAGGACACAACATAGACTTTGCCAACATTAGGACCATCGCCACGGCAAAAACACTACAAGCACTACGGTTTCCTTCATTGAACATATGAACATTTGGGAAAACCTAAACTTCCATAAATTCAAAAGTCATATTTCACTCATTGAGGAACAAATACAAATCAAAACACAACAAGACCTAACGTTCAGTATACTCCACAAAACAATACACATTTCTAATAACAATGAACTTAGAGAAACACCAACACAAAGAATTTTACCTAATGTAACCCAAGTACAGGCAAATTCAAAGAGACATCCGGACTAAAGGAAGAAGACAAATACCCGCACTAAGGCGTTCTAACCGTATAAAAGAACAAACAAGAAGATAAAACGTTCAGTTTGAGGAGAGCCATGAAGATGATAGATGAAGATGTGTGTTGGGGAGTAATCAATTTAAGCTCAGTGTCTATCTGAATAGGACAATCACCAGACTTGGTTTCCCATCCATTTGGTTTTTGTTTTTTTTTTACCATTAAGATTTTATAAGATTTTTTTTAAATGAAGATCATTTTTGAAGGACAAAACAAGCACTACAATAAAATCCTTGAGGCGTAAATGCTGTAAAAATATCCAAAAACAACACATGCAAATGTTGTTCATCTTGGTTGTTGCGATCAGATGAAATCGCATATGAAATGTTATTTTATTCTTTCTCTTTATTGATATTCCGCTAACCATATTGGTTATTTTTCTAGATTGCCGATCCTAGCCCACAGATGAATGAAGGAGCTGATGCAATCGCCAAAGAAGAAGAGGAAGATATGGACATCACTGATAATCTGTTTGAAGATGATGTGCTTTTCGATAATATCAAATTGGCAGGCGTCAGAGAGCTCGTAAGCCTAAAGTCTTTGAGCACCAAAATTGACATTCTGAAACGAGAGTTGTTATCAATACGTGACGACAATGAGATGAACTTTTGGGATAAACGTCACCATATAGACTGCCTCAATTTCGAGATTTACAGAACGGAAGGCGAATTAGAATACTTGCAGGTTTGTAATTTGAGAAATAGGTTATGTTATCTGGGTTCGAACATATTTCAATATATTTTTCTTTTAAAAATTGTCCTTTTCCGCCGATCCCGGGTAAATTTCAGGAAATTAGAAACGGTGAGTGTACTCTTGAGTCAGAAAAATGTTTACAGAAAGTCGAGAGGTTGTGAATGACGACGTGAGCCCTAGACGCCCCAGCATATCAACAACCGATGAAGATGTTGAGAAAGTGAAGAAAATTGTTATGGAGAATCGTCGAATCACTAGTAGGGATGTTGCTGAGGATGTCGGCATATCGGTTGGCTGATACCATGCTATTTTTCCGGAAATTTTGAGCATGTTCTTGGGTTTCATACTTTTTTTGTATCTTCTTTTTTTCTGCCCACAACAGAAGCAATCAGAGATTCCTTTATGTTTCTTCAGATGCTCCAATAACTCCTTATTGACATCTTGTGATTCCATAGTTGACGAATTTCATTTTCAAGCACAATAACTTTGCTGTGTGTTCTTTGAAACAAGCTTCCATAGCTTGTTTAGTCTGACCGATATGTCGCAGTCCGTATATCCCCGACTTTTCTTTTTATATCTTCAGGGTCTTTACTATCAGCAGTTTCATTTCAGAGATCTTAATCCCAACAAAACATTTTTGAAGACGCAATGTCCCTAACGAAAAATAAAACGCGTTGGCTTAATTGTCTGCTGCAGTGTACCTTTTTCCACAGATGAGACTAGCAGAAGGAAAAAACAGCACGGCTGCTCCGCAATTCCTCAATTTGATGAACCCTCATTACATGTCACACGATGACAGGTGGCAGATGTATTTTCATTGGTTGGGAATCTACGTCGCCAAACTGAGAGAGCGGAAGGAAGCTGTCAGCATAGGGTTTCGGAAGGTCTATTCACTGTACACAGAGATGCGCGACATTGAGGATGCACAAGTGATGAAAAGTAAGAATCAATGTTTCAATAATGATAATAAGTATACTTAATTGTCGAAAGATCAATTTCCTATTGCTCCCTAGACTCAACAAAAGCAGTAAAAGGTTTCATCAGTTAGTTTTCAATTTATATGCTTCAGAGTTTGAACCAGAAAATAATTGAGAACAGTGAGTTTTGAGATTCGAATGTTACTCGATGTAAGTACCAATTTACCAAGTTTAGTGGCCACAGAAAAATGAGTTCAAATCTTCTTTTTTTCTATGAAAAATAAAAGTAGTTCAGATGAATCTTGTGTAGAACTTCTGAAGAAGTGTTTGAGTGCCATTTGTAATCCATTGCAACAGTTCAAGTATATCCACAGAAAGGAACTTACTACCAGTTGATGATGGACAGATTCAACTTTGGAAGCCCGAAGTCTAAAAATATACTCAGTGTCTATTTCATGCCTTCATAAACTAGTTCTGATCTAGTAAGCCAACTAAATTTCAAGGTACCGCAATTCGCAGGCAAAAACAATTTAATTTTCCATAAATCCCAACAAAGAACCAATGATCTCATGAAATCATCAATCAACACAATGTGTAATAGTTTAAACAAAACCTGTAACTTTTGTGAGTTATTCTGGGAGCTTGAAGCAAATGTAAAACCTTTTATATTTCACTTGTTTTTTTTCCACTGTACTTGTACTACATGGATCAATAAGTCCCGAGACTAACCCAGAGATGGCGCTCTTAGTAAACCAAAAACCACGTCTTTCTAGAGTACTAACCTTTGCTTGAAACGTGTCGAAATTTTAAGTCGATCGGACCAGAAACAGCTGAGTTATCGAGGTTAGAGTAAAGTCGTTTTGTAGTTTGTCTAAAAAATGGAAAAAACCGAGTTTCGTGTTCTGATAAAACATTGTTTTTTAATGGGTAAAAACACCGTGCAGGCGAAAGAATGGATTGAAAAATGTTACCCGGACTCTTGTCCATCAAAAGCAACGATTTGTCGGTGGTTTGCCGAGTTTAAACGTGGTCGTACCGACACAAATGACGCAGAACGCTCGGGTAGACCTGTGGAAGCTGTTACACCGGAAAATGTGAGTGAAGTGACAAAAATTGTAATGAAAGATCGTAAAGTGAAGCTCCGTGAGATTGCTGAGATGACACAGATATCATATGGAAGTGTATTTACTATCCTTCATGAAAAATTGAGCATGAAAAAGGTTTTTTCTAAGTGGGTGCCGCGATTGCTTTCGATGGAACAAAAACAGCAACGAGTCGATGATTCAGAAAGCTGTTTATCGCTATTTACTCGCAACAAAACAGATTTCTTGCGTCGTTACGTGACCATGGACGAAACATGGATACATCACTACACTCCAGAGTCAAAGCGGCAGTCATCTGAGTGGCGCACAGCTGGCGAAAGCCGTCCGAAACGTCCGAAAACGCAGCAGTCAGCTGGCAAAGTGATGGCGTCAGTTTTTTGGGATGCGCATGGCGTGATTTTCATTGACTACCTCGAAAAAGGTAAATCGATCAACAGTGATTATTATATTGACTTACTGGTACGTTTGAAGGAGGAAATCGCAAAAAAACGACCGCACATGCAGAGAAAAAAAATCCTTTTTCACCAAGACAATGCACCTTGCCACAGGTCGATGAAAACAATGGCAAAATTAAACGAATTGGGCTTTGATCTGCTTCCCCACCCCCTATACTCACCAGATTTAGCCCCCAGTGACTACTGGCTCTTTGCTGATCATAAAAAACAAATGAGGAGGTCATCGCTGAAACTGAAACTTATTTTGAAGCGAAAGATACATTTTTTTATAAACATGGTATTGAAAAATTGGAAAAGCGTTGGAACCATTGTATCACCCTAAAAGGAGATTATGTTGATTAATAAAAAAAAATTTTGTAAAAAAAATGTTGTTTTCATTGTTAGTCTCGGGACTTATTGATCCATGTGTTAGTTATCCATTTTCGCAGAACCATTCTTTTTCTTTTCCTTCAACTTCCGTTATTCTGATATTGCTCTGTAAGGAGATAGTACAGTATGTTTCTCAATAAACGCTATTATCATTATTATTATTTAAGTGAACTGTGAAAAATGTGATCAATTATTTACAAGTTCTTCATTCTCATCTAGGTTCTCTGGTCGTCGGAATGACAACTACAGGTGCTGCTCGTCTTCAGTCCGTCTTGCAGTCCCTCAAGAGTCCGATAGTGATTGTGGAAGAAGCCGCGGAGGTTCTCGAAGCTCACATTATAAGTTCTTTAACGCCTCACTGCAGACATTTGATACTAATCGGCGATCACCAACAGCTGAAGCCCAGCACTGCCAATTTTAAAATTGAAACCAAATATCGACTAGGTACAGTATAGTGTTACGTATCTTAGGTTCTCAACATCATCCTGTATATTTTCAATGGGCTGAGTGGTTAAATATTTATAGTTATATCAACTGGCAACAAAAAAATAAGTATTAAAGAGTTCATTCGGCAACAACATCAATAATTGCTGCATTTTATAATACAACTAGCTACCTACCGCACGGGTGCAATGCTGATACTGAATATAAATATAAATACGTGCGATCACTGCTAATCATGAAGTACTATAGGGCGAAGCGCTGTCTACGACGCGCTATTTATAGGCACGAGCCCCCGGACGGTACCTCCGCAACCGCTATGTCCCTGCATTTTAAATCTGTAATATCTTCGAGAATATTCATTTAAACCACATGCTGTGAAGGGCCATATCGATTTATATTAAATGTACAATGTATATAAGGAACTCAATTGGATGAGGATTAATGCTGTATTATAATAATAATAATATACTTAATTGTTATTAAGAATAAATCTTGTGGACAAAGCTTGTGAAAAATGCATACAAATGCAAGGATGGAAATATAAAATGTGAATATAAAAACACCTACAATGGTTAGAACATACACTATAGTTCAACATTGAAATTTTGTCTCAACATCAACACATAATAGACTTGTAAACACACATATATATATATATA